CCCCCGCTGCCTGCTCCCTCTTTTCAGCTGCTTTGCGGTGGCTTTCCACATCGCTGAAACATTGCTGATGCTCAGCCCAAGGGTGGCTGCTTTGACAGCGCTGGAGAAATAGACGGGCGTGCGTGCCGTCCATATGTGGATATAAGACCCTGCAAAAACCTCCGCTCAAACGCGGTGTTTAGCGTTGCTGCTGGAAAGCGTTCAGCAGCCAGTATACGTTAGAATTAGAGGGACTCAGCGCAATGGCATGTGCTCCTGTAATGAAAGACTGGGTCACAGTGCATATGCAGAAAAGGGCAGAATTAAAGGCATGGGGTAACCGTAGAGCTGGCACAGCCTAATTTTGGAGTGCCTGCACTTTTTATCTGGCCCAATGCATGCATGTGCATTGTTCGCACACTCCCCAGAGCACGCATTAAGTGTGTGCATCTGCGATACATGGCTACACCTTCTACCTAGCTCCACGAAACTTTTGAGTGACCCACGGTAAAGTTAACTCTGCAGCTGCCCTCAGAAGCCTAAGCACCAAAAGGACCCGCAAGATGTAAAAAGGTGAGGAGGATGTTTCGAGGGGTGAACACACACACACACACACGCAGTATCAGTCCACAGGTGGTCCCTGGCCACAAAGTCTGCCTTGCTCAAGCATATATGTGCATGACTGATTCCAAAACCGGGCCGAGCATGGGCTGCCTGGCTCGGTCACGCTGCCTTTGCCCTCCCAAACGCTGGCTCTCCTTCTCTTTTTCTGGAGGAGGGCAGGGAAGGAGGTTGGGTGCTGGGGTGAAACCAGCCTCCTGCATTTTGCATGGTACGGTGTGAGCATAAACACACACGTGTATGGGGGGTTTTTTTAGCTGCTTCCCTGGTTGCCTTTTCTTATCACAACTCAGCCCACTTTTCTGTAGGGCCAAAAGGGGCGGCCACGGGAACCGGCAGGACCTCAGGCAGGCTCTCCCTGCTCTTGCAGGTGGGACTTGCTCATGGGGTGGCGCAGCAGACACGAGCCTAGCGCAGCAACAAGCAGCCACAGCAGCGAGCGGTTTGAGATGAGCCTGTCACCGGTAAGGTTACCGGGAACGGTGGCGGCTTGCAGGGCGCAGGCAGAGCTGTGACGCTCTATCCACTTCGACTTGTCACTTTTCCTTCTCAATCCAGTACGGGGAACCTGAGCGTTGCGAGGGCCGTAACCCCATCCGCTGTGGGCAGGGATGAAACGGCAGCATGGAAATATCGAGCGCTTGCTTTAATACCATGCCTTTTACTCAGCCCAGGGCAGGGCTGCCAGCATGTCTTACTCAAGCCTGCTCATTTCCTGGTTCTTGTGCATGCAGTTGGCATGTGTCACTGGCATCCCCGTCCTCTTTGACTGAGCCAGTGAATCACAGGAGCTTCGCTGTCATTTGCATGGCCGTTAAAGGTCACTGTCCTCTCTTGAACCTCTCCCCTCCTTCCAAGGGTCTTTGCGAAAACAAGCAGCCCCGCTGCGCTTTGCCGGGTGGTGCCGGCCCTCTTGGTACAGGGTGGTGGCTGCTGTGTCGGGTGGTGCCCGCGGCGCTCGGCCACCCGCTGCTTTGCGAGCAGAACGGCTGCAGCGTGTTGCAAAGGGGACCTTTGCTCTCCCTCCTCGCCCCTGCTCTCTGCACAGGCACGCGTGGTTGCGCTCCAGGCCCCCAGGGATGCCTGCACACGTGCAGGCAGCGTATTTTGGTCCCCCGGAGGTATTGCATGCACGTTGCCTTCTGGCTCCCACAGAGGTTTCCCCGCCATGCGTGCACAGTCTGTGCTCCAGCTCCCACTGAGATTTTTCAACGTTTTTTGGCTTTGTGGCTTCCCTTAATCCAAAAAATGTGGCCTTCAGACGGGCGCTGAGTGGCTGCTCTCACGGAGCCGGAGAGCTTTGCAGGGCCCCGGCTTCCTCTGCGCCTGGGCCTGCACCTAACCCACTTGCGACTCCTTTGCCTCTGTCCTGACCTGACATCCGCCGGGACAGGGAGCGGGGACCTGGGGATCATGTCAGTCGTTTCTGAGGCTGGAGGAGACGGTTGTGCTGCGCGCCAAGGGGTAGGGGACCTTGCCCAGCAATTCTTGCAGCTAGCACAGTCTGTCCCGCCTCAATTCTCCCCAGGCTGCCAGAGATGCTTTTCTTCTGTTTCTCTCTCAAAAGAATAATAATAAAAAGTTACTGAAAGTGCTGGTGCCCAGGGGAGCGCTGCCGTTGGCTGGTGGAGGAGGGCCCTTTGCCCAGGCTCCGCAAGGCTTTGGGATTTTTCTCTGGTGAGCAAGTCACGATAATGTGAGTTACTGCTGTTTGTCTTCCTGAATCCCTGTTTTATTTCAGTCCTGCTCTCGTTCCCCGCTCCGCAGCCTGTCCGGGACGCCCCGTTTCCGCTAGCGGGGCCATGAAAGGATAGAGGTGCGGGCAGGAGCGCGCGCTGGCGAGCTTGCCCGTCGCCGCTGGGCCAGGGC